AACATAAAACCAACATAAAACGTTATCACATAACAAGACCTCTCAAAGAAACAGCATGGAATCATACTCCCACTCCTGGCCTAACCCACCATAGAAGGACGTCCTGAGCATGCTCTATAGCCTGCCTAACCCAACGCGCTACACCCACGCTTTGTGACTACACTTCATTTTTTAATAAGAGGAACTCAAGGGTGAGTAACTCTTCAAAATAACTGGACTAAAACAAAACGCTTTTGTGAAAACGACCAACTAAGTTCATGATTAAAAAATCAAATTAACATAAATTTATAGAATGTAAATCATACTTTGCAGTATATAGATCATACACAACAACAAAGACGAACATCCAAAGACTAGATGATCCCATCACACTCGAACAAAAGAATGGCTAAACACAACCGACATGCAGTCCACAATCACGACTCAAAGGATTTAAAGTACGACTTGACTTCGCAGAAAAGGACTTCATTGAACTAGACCAATGACCACCCCGATGCTCAAGTATACGTACAGATCCGAGTTACAGGGCATCCATTCCACAAACGATCTTCACGCTATCCCAGATTAGGCTGCACACAAAACAGTTCTCTACTTATACAGAAAAACCTGACATAGCAAACCATTTTGAAATCGGATTGATTTCATTGGGGATCACAGTCGTTGTCGAATGACGAAATAACAATTTCCTGTCCCTGATTCCAGCGTCCTGGAACGTTCTTTTTCAAGAGAAACCGGATAAGAATATGATGTTCGCCAAAAAACAACGTTCAACATCCATCCTTCAAAAAGCAGAGAAGAAAGATAGTTCTAAAAACTCTGTAAACCCCGGATGGGTGGAACCTTATCTAAACTACATTTTATTAATGGATAAATTAGATATTTTACCACGGTAAAATATTCAATATTAACCAATCATAATCCATCTAACTAACAAACCACTTATTTGTAAATAAACTTGTTATCGAATTAAAAGCTGATTTTCGATTCATAATATGAGCCCGTAGACGACCCGAAATGTAGACGACCTAGATGAAAAACGTGAAGAGGATCCAAGAAACACAACGACTCAAGAATAAAGCAGAAATAAAGGAAAATCGACCAAGCGTGAAAACATACAGAAAGATAGTCTCTGACTTGGATGACAATGAAAAAACTATATAAAAAAGGCAAGTAGAGAAAATTTTAACAAGAGAACGGAAATTACAAAACAATAACGCTCAGACGAAAACAAAAGCTGCAGCAACTGGGACCTGAACAACGGATCCAGTAACACCGGACACACGTCATGGACGAAACCCGGAACTCACGCCAATCGAATCAGAAGTAAACGTTTCAAGAAATACGCAAAACAATTTCGAAACATAAAAAGTCAACTGGTACGTGATGTTGGTCGGCAACGAAACAGCGCCGCTAGCTAGAAGAGTAATCAGGGGACAATGAAGAGACACCGTTGTTTAAGCAGAAGTAAGCTGGGATAAAAGTTTGTTAGAGCGACAACTCGTGCAGAAGCTTGAGACCGCTAATACACTTTGTTAAAGAAAGAGAATGGGAGCCCATACAACACTCCTATGGAGCGTACTTCAAAAACAATAAGCACAGATCGGATGTACGAGACGATTGCTTCATCATCGACGACCGCGGTGGTAATCCCGACTCATTCGATGGACACAGTACTGAACGTAAAACGTGTACACCTAACTCATCCAGGGAAGGACGCCACACTAGACATCCATCGTTCGCTCGTAGCCAGAACTGCTCGAAGTTCTGTGAAAAAAGTTCAAAACAATAAAAGGGAAAATCACCATTTTGAAATTTAAAAAATGTAGGAGAATCCAATGAAGGAAAAACAGTTAGGTTTCGTGAGGCCGATTCCGGATAAGGTAAATAAGGAAGCAAATGAATACGTGACTATAGACAGATTTCAAACAATTCAATAGCTGAAGACGTTACAAACAAACTGCTGCCATACTAATAAAGTTCATTCAAAATGCGTAATTTCAATTTGGTACTGATCAGAACAAAATGCACAGAAAGTATTCACACTGACTAATTTTCACACCAGTAGACGACTGAAATATAGAAACTTGCAAGAAAACGATACAAACTAGCCTAAACTTAGTCAAAACGTATGAAACCTTCCGGATAAGCACTTCCGTTGGGCGGGTTCAAAGTTATCCCGCCATTGAAACACTTCGGACAAGGCGACCGAACATTGCATCTTGAAATCTGGCAAACAAGAGCAACCATAACATCGTAAGTTGTGACAATGTAACCCTGTCTTTGTTTTCAGAGAAAATAAATTAATCATAATTGAAAAATTTTGCCAAAAATTAAAAGTTTGTTACTTTTGTTACATCATTTGTTTTCAGATTCAGAAGGAAGACGCCTGTTCAGAAGATGAAGTAACCGTTCGGCGCCGAGCTTCGAGGATAGATAACGCGGATACTGACCAGCCAGCCGGCCAAGGTTTGAACTTTAAAAACATTTAAAGTAATCTACAGAAAAAACTAAAGGGCACTGAAAAAAAATCAGACAAAAATTTAAAACAGAAAAATGACAGGTAGCAAGGAAAACAGTAAAAATAGAACAAAAATAGGACCTAACCACTTTCCAGCGAAAGCACAAAAGTAAAGTCAGGTAAACATTCACATGAACATCACAAGCGGCGTGAGTTCAAACATTTGGAAAACTATCCATACTCACTAGATGCAGTTGTTTTGCATTCGTCCCAAAGTAAATGTACTTGATTGAGTGACTTTGTTGCCTACAAAGCTACGCGTCATTACAAAAGCCGCCAATTTTTAAAATTTGAAAGCCGCGCGACGCGTCGCACTCAATGTACATGGAAACGTCGGAAGGGTAATACACCTAACCAGGCTGTAAAACACAAAAAAAACTGGCACAGGCGAATGAAAAACAGCAAGTGCCACAATAAGAAAAAAGAGTAACGAAACAGGCAAAGAAGACAGGCGACAAACAGCAAAACCCCACAAAGCGGGCGAAGAATTGAAACGTAAAAAATATACACAACATGATAAAATGTTGGGAAAATAGGAGGTGTCCCAAACGAAAAAGCGGGCAAGAAAAAGCCTTCATCCTTATCCAACTCAGAAGTGTCATCTTCTTCAAGCAACAACGCAGAAACCTATCCGGCGTACAAACAACAGCATACAAAGCAAAAGCCAACCCCAACAATCGTATCGACTAAAAGCTGGAACAAGCTTAATACTAGCAAAACTTGGTAACGATATATCAATAATGGCATTTCACACTTGAAAAAAGAACCAACTCGAAGCCATCACGTAACCAAGTAACACCGTCGCCGAGAGAACCAGTGGTATCAACGGCAGCAAAACAACATAACGAGGTTGTCAAAGCTCGCTTGAAATTCTTTTAAAAAAATAAAAGTGGGTGAAGGCAAGTGAATGATAGTGAAGGAAATCATAGAGATACCAATTGGGAGGCCAAGACGCGACAGTACCCGGGTTGACCTCCATACACTGAAAACAATTCCACGCATTAAGTGTGTGGGAAAATGCTTGTCATATAATTTTCATACAATTACAAAAAATGGGTAAAAAAAATAAACTAATTTGTACGGCTGTTTGATTCTAATAAAGTATTCTGGTAATTTCGAATTTGCCCCAAAAATTTTTTTTGTTTTTTTTTCAACCACAAATCGAATTTTGTATGCAAACAAACAATTTTTTTTTCAAAAACGCTGAAAGTTCCTATTTTTTTTGTATGGCATGTTTATGTATGCCTTGATTAATGTCTGACAAGTTGAAAATTCAGAAAATAAATTAATCATAATTGAAAAATTTTGCCAAAAATTAAAAGTTTGTTACTTTTGTTATATCATTTGAGAAAAACAGATCGAAGACAGATCAGGTCGTTTTCTATGCTTTGTAAATGCAAGACCGTCCAACCTTTTGTGCTTTGAGTAACCAAGGTCTTTGTCACTTGTCTTCGGTTACAAATACAAACGCAATTTTTCAAAAAATAAATGTAGAAACAAAAATCTAACTTTTTAGTTCATGGAAAAACACCTATCATACCATTTTCATATTGAAAAAATGCTTGTCATAGAGTTTTCATACAATTTTCTGTACGTATGAAATTGTATGATAAGAAGTTTCTAATAATAATATGCTTTGCTTGGGAACCAAGTTTTTGCTCTGAACGGCGGAAAAAAGATTTTTTACTTCCAACGTCTTTGAGGTCGTTCAGAGTACATTTTAGATGCCTACGAGAATATTGAATTTATTTGATTATTCAGCTTCTATGTTGCGCCAAATATGATTCTTTGTTAATCATACGTCGCGCCATATATGTTTCCATGGTATCCATACATCGCGCCATGCAGCATACCATAGTAACCATACGTCGCGCCATGCATGATACCAGAGTAACCATACATTGCAAGCATCCATGGTGACATATTAATTATCAACAGCTCTAGTAAAAGCATCAGTATTGTCTAATTTGAAGTCCCCATGATAAAAAAAAATGAGCAACCATACCTCGCGCCATGCATGGAAAATGTGTTATTTTAACATAAAAGTACGTCGGCAATTTTTCATGGCTTCCATGGAACCATGCATGGTGCGACGTATGGTTGCACATTTTGGTCAACCCGGGATTGTATGATAAAGAGTTTTGGTTAATCCGGGTGAGCAACTTCAACAAGCAGAGCGAAAAGCCGGAAAAAGGAAAAACCATAAGCCTAGGCCCAGGGGGAGTGATCAACCTTCCGAAAAGTGAGTTAATATAAACTTTGAATATTTTATAACTTTTATTTCATTAAGAGGCCAAGCTGTGTAATTTGGGAATTGTAAGCTGATTCCGCAACAAGGACGCTCCCTTTGTTCTTTTGTTTTTTCATTCTCTTTGATAGTTCCGACACGATTTTAACATAATTAAAGATTTGAGGTTTGTCTCTGGAATCCAGAAACATGCAGAATAGTTTGACCTCGTAACGTTTGAAGACATGAAAATACCTGTGAGTTTTAGCCCAAGCTTGTCTGCCAGTCCTCCAGCAATCGCCTCGACAAAATTGTCCCCGTCTAAAGGAGCAGCATCCAAAAGGTTGCCAGCCCACCGTTTAAGTCTCTCTGCTCTTTCTGCGTCTTCTGATTTTTCTGCTTTTCCTGCTGCATCTGCTCTTATTTCATCCATCGCAACCGAGCTGCAAGTTTTTGCTCAATGATTATGATCAAAACTGTTGTTACCAAGTATTTAAATTTAGAAGCACGTTTCAATTGTAAAGCTTCTATTCAAGCTTACAGCAAATGGATTCAATCAATGGTCAAAACTTACAAACACAGCACATTCAATAGTACTTTCTGTCCAATGTTTGTAGTTTTCACTGTTTTTACTTTAGTTTTTGCATATTAAAAAAGCAAATTTTTTTATTCGTTTTCTGTAGTTTTTGTTCTTGACGTGAAACTTCAGTTCAAAGAACGTGCTTTTTATTTTTTTTACAAGCTTCGATTTTACTACTAGCCTGGTTACCAACATTCACTTCATACCTTTCTAAAGAAGAAAACTGCTTCAGCTAAATCTGTGACAGAGATGAAGCGTTGACCACAAAATTAAACCAGATAAAAAGAACCATAATCAACTATCACTTTATGCAAAGAGCTTTTCGAAAACGAACAGCACTTTATACCCTTCAGTGATTCGACACCCTGTTGACCCAAAAGATCCAACCTTCGTGCTGATTTGAGATATCCATTTTTGACTCATCGCCCTTAAGGTTTTTCTGAAGGAGCCATTGGCGCCAACAAATATCAAATCTGAGGAATGAGCGCGCTAAACCCGATGTGGAAATATATACTAAATCTGAAGGGGAAAAAGGGTTTTCATTGTGATTTGGGAGTGTTCAGAAATTCTATTTGGTCGACCTAAAAATTGAAAAAAAAATGAAATGTTTTCGAAAAGACGCACTCCCCCTCATTCAAGGAAATCCTAAAACTCCATCAATTAAAGAAAATCTTCCAGCTCTTTCAAATAAATGCGATGTTTCGCCGGGGCATGATGATTTCTTGGTTTGGCAAAACGAAGATTTTCTTTGAGTCGAAATACGCCTTCATCTTCTCGTTTGCTTACTCGGAATGTTATACAAAAAAGTCCCTTGTCCCTTTTTAGTCATTTACTTTTATCCGATACTTTTATTCTGTGGAATTGGTTTTTTTGGTGTTCAGTTCTTGTGACCTTGTGGATGATTTTATTTGAATGAGTGCTGAGTTTCTTATGAACGAATATTTTAGTGGTTTTCTCAAAACAAAATAATTATTTAACTTGGTTGGAATAGGTATATTTGGTTTGTCCTGCTCAATGCCATCTAGATAGTTTACTTGGGTTGCTGCTAGTTTATTAGAAAGTGCAAAATACTTTTGCTTGAGGTGGTTTTTTTATTCAGTCACTTTTTAAACCATCTAAAAATCACTCTTGCTCTAGTTCCAAGTAAACAATATTTTACCTGTGATTGTTTTTCGTAAGTTCCCGGGTTGACAACCATAGAAGAAACATGATTATCATACAGTTTCATATATGAAGTCTTTGGAAAAAATGCTTGTCATAGAAAATTCATACAAAATTTAAAAAGTGTTTTAAAAATTTTTAATGAACATTTTTGGTCTACTTGTCTCTTTTGAAACCTTCTCGTCATTAAAAAAAAAGGTTTAAAATTTTAAAATAAAATGCTCATCATACAATTTTCAAATATGAAATTGTATAATATGCATTTTCTTCATAAACTTAAACGAAAATTTGAGGTAAAAAAATTTTAATATCTTTTCTGACTGCAAACTTGCTTTTGTTCTAAAATATAAATTTTACGAAAAAAAAATTTTGCATGCAAAATTTGAGTTTTTGTGTTTATAACGTAGTCCAGGATGAGTGTTTCACCTAGAAAATCTAAAAAACACATGAAAGTGTTTTTTGTTGTAAGCACGATTATAATCTTTTGTTTCATTTGCTAAAATAAAAATAACTTTGTAGAAAAACAGGCCTTTTTTTCTCGACCATCAAATTTTCAAACTAAAAATTATCTAGCCATATTCAAAAAGTTACTTTTTTGGTATATAATTCCATTTGAAAAAGTTAAAAGTAACTTTTATGGATAATATCACCAAAAGCAGTTTATCTGCGTGGTAACTGCCAATTACTCTGTGCTGTCATATGACAAAAAATCCTTGGTTAGTGTTTCGATTGAGACACGAATAATCGAAACAAAAATTATTTTGTAATTTCCTTTTTGGAAAAAATGCTTGTCATACAATTTCATAGTATGACAAAAATGCTTATCATACAATTTCATTTATGGAAGAAATGCTTATTTTGCTATTTTCATACACTTACTTTTGCTTTATGAAATTGTATGAAAGAGTATGATAAGCATTTTTTTCATATATGAAAATTGTATGATAAGTATTTTTTGTCAAAACAGATTATGGTGGTTTGATATTTGCTGATTGGGAAAATTTGTGATAATTAAAGCGAGCTGTTTAGCGTAGCTATCAGACGCGTAACCAGCTGATTAAATCGTTTAGAATTGAACGGAGGAAAACATTTTGGTCTTATTTGTTAGGATACGAGCCACTTTTGTCATCCTTTGTCTTTTACATGAGCTTGTTGGTTGATAAAATGAAGAAAAACAAAAAAAAATTGTTTTGTTAAATCAATTTCAAAGCAATTTTTTTATTGGCCATAGGCAGTAGTAATTTTAAAGTTTCGCTCTGATATACGACCAGCTATGTTGCTCTGACGGAGTATTTGTGCTTGGAGTAGTTTTATCCAGAAAAAAATCAATTTTTTAGGAAACAATTCTTGACTGAACATTTTAATATCATTCAAAAAGTTTTGATGCTCTGAGCCCAAATTGAAAGAACAATTTATATCTGACCTTATTTTGTAAATTCATGGTAAAATTGCCAACTTGGGCCGCTATAACTTAGCTTGTGCTTTTAAACGCGTAAACGGACAAAAAACATTTGGAATTGTTTTAGTTTTTTTTTCCGAAAATTTCATCAAATTTTTTGATTCAAACATTACTCTATAGACCTGAAAAGGCAGTCTAAATAATCAGGGCTTCGCCCTTATACGAGTAGTTTTTTTCGGTGTAATTATCTCAATTTCCTATCTTTGCCTAGGTTTGACCAGCCACATCACATAGAAATACTTTCTATGGTCAATTTCGTCTTCGTGGTTTGACTAAGTTAATAGTCCAAGGTCAAGTTCTGAAACTATTTATTTCTGCTTCACTTAATTCTCATCGTCTGTTTAATAAATTATATCCTTTCAAAATAAGTTTTTATCTGCAATTACGCAGAGGTTTCATATAATTGCGCATTCGTTGTTCCTGAGAAGATAAATAGCCCCATAGGTCCTTGATCAATTCAATTGGTCAAAGTCTCTCTTAGCCGATTCTCGGCTTACGGTCGAAGGTGGGCGCGCTACGCTCATGCCGCCATTTCGCCGCGATAACCATCTCCAACTTTTGTTTAGAGTCCTACGCTCTGTTGGCAAGTTCGCAACTCGGTGACTCGACTGCAATGGTCCCTATTCTGCCGCTTGCTCTTATGCTGTTTGAACAATAAAAATAAGCCATCTAATCGTTTCTCGCATTTTATCCAACTTAATTTCACGAAGAGCAGTTTTAGGACTTATGCGACTGGTTTTTTTGGGTGCTATGAATATTGCGAGTTAAGTTCGGTCTGGTTTTCTTATAAGGTATATTCAAATAACGTATACCATATGTTCGTTACGCTATATATTTTTTGGCCGGATAGCTTCACTCAATTTTTTAGTCTATACCAATCTTATTCCTACTCTTATATTTCTTAGTCTCGATAGATCTAGTGATAAACTGGCTTACGCCTGCGAGGCTAGAGGAGAGAAGAAGGCAACTAATTAAAGGCTTCAAAACCCTTCTCTGACTGAAACTACGAATCGTTTCAGCTCTACACCTTATAATAGGTTTTAGTCAAGGATAATGATTGGTTAGTTAAAATTATTTTACAGCAAAAATGGTTAAGTTTTATATTGTTTTAAACTGGTTCCAACCTTCCGGGGCTTAGAAATTTCTTACATCATGGAAAATAAATTTTAAGTTTTTTGTAGAGTGGAGTGTGTAGAATAGCTCTGCCTGCCTAGTACATATCATGAGGTTGAAGGTTTTTCGTTAATCCAGAAAGATCATATCCAATTGCAGATTTGTTTTTTTGCAGAGTGTCAATTTCATAAGTCAGAGCGAGACTACAAGCATTCTCACTATCCGTTCGTGGTTGATCGAGTAGTGAGTTAAAAAGGTAGACTTTTCTGAATGGAGTGCCAAAGGACAAGGGCATGTATGTGTTGAGTTTTGACATCGAGTTGGCCATTGTTCTGTTTTAATGGATATATTTGCGGCGGTGTCACCTCCATACTTTATATCCAGTGTTGGTTGTGATTGCTTCAACCAAAACCTACAATTTCGCCATTCCATAGCCGGAATGTTAATGAATTTTCATTTCCTTTTTGCTGCTCAAAAATTTAACTCATTACAAATTTATCTGCACTTTAGTTTTTCAATTTTAGTTATGATCTAAATAGTTGCTCTCGGAGAAGACTTTTAGTTATTTTGGTTATTTTGATATTTGATCACCCTAGAGCCACTTGTAGGAAAAATTGAATGCGTAGTTCTAAACACATGAGGGCACTTGGGGTAAACTTGTGAGCGTTTCTAGGGGTACACATGTGAGTACAATAGGCCACTTGATGTACACCTGGGAGTGTTTCTTTCAGTAGAGTCTTTAGTTATTTATTTTTTTCCTTTCTTCTGTATCAGGTGCTTTATTTTATCCAGTTTAGTCTGGCTTAAGTGTAATGCACTTTCCTGTACATTTTGATGGCGTTGTAATAGTAAACTGCGTGGATTTTAAATCTTCATTCCTTAATATCCCGGGTTAAATGAAAGTTTGAAATGTGTGAGAGCTGTTCGAAGTTGTGATCAGTTAATTTCAGAATCTGAATTTCCTTTATTCACTACGGTTGTTATGCGACTTTATAAGGGTCTTAAACAGTTTAGTCTTAAGTGGTCGAACTTAGGGGCGAGTTGGGAAGATTGACAAAAGCGGTGGACATAAAAAACTTAGTTTTATTTTTAATTTTTTTTTCAATGAATAAATGTTTGCATACGGTGTTTTATGTATTAAATTACGATAAGTACAAAAAATTTTAATCTAAATTTCAAGCTACCGAGGTGTTTTGCGCGGCAAAACAAAAGTCACTTCCTGAGTTTGCACGAACCCAAAAATAAATTTCGCGATTTTGCGCAACTCAAAAAAGATGTTGCAAGTTTGCACGACCGAAGTGTTTTGCGCTAGTTTTTTTTAT